CAAAGATAGGTCATCACTGTGTCAGCAGGCGCAGCCTAAACACACCTCATCCTGACATATTCCATTTATAGTTTATCAACCAATTATTGCTGAAAATCAAAGCTGAATGATTGTCATTATGTTTATTTGCATCCTCTTACTCTTCCTGGGGTCTTCAAACATCAACCATATAATAACACAGCGCTCAGGAAGCACAGTTTTAGAGGAGTGAGTCATGCTAGCAATGACAGCTTTTTAAAACAATGACCCTAAGGCCTCCATTACTATTCAATAATAGATGGTTTCTTCTAAACTAAAATGGCCTCCTTTACTCCTCTCTTAAACCAGTATTTCTCACATCCACGATGACTCCATCTCTATAGCAGCAACAAAGGGTTATTAGACAATCAGCTGGGTTTGTTTATCCTGTTAATGTAATAACTGTTAAACACATACCATCATCAACACTTTTATCGCACTAAAAGCATGGCTCTGCATGTTTTTATGACCACAACACAATAGTATAAAGATGTTCAGCAAAAGCTGAGGTTGGATGAGATGAACCAAGCCCTCATGAACAGAGCACAGAGCTAAAAGCTTGCCATGCATAAGGATAAAACATGGTTTACACTCAAGAGGAGGAGCAGGCGTCAGTGTGTATACTGGATGGACATAAAACAGGAATGCTTTGAGCAGCAGCCCCTTCTCAGTGCTTTCTGATGCATCTAAGACTGATTCACCGCCTTTATGTTCATCCATTGTGCAGAGATAACAGATACACTGCTGATCAGATCAGATCACCTCATTGGTATGAGAGTAGATGGTCTCCTGGAGCTTCTCAGAGGGATTCACCAGCCTGCGTTTCTTTAAAGTAGAGACATCATAGTGGTGTTTTCCTTGGGCTGGTCGGAGGGTTTCACAAGATTATGTTCCTTTAAAGGTGGAGCATCATAATGAGGTTGGAGGTGATTGTCATAATAAGAAGCCACACAGACTGGACAGGAGTTTACAGCTTTCCTTTTCCTCACAGTGCAGACATCACAGGGCCCATTTTCAGGTCCAGCATAGCAGTGATCAGCTGGCATAAGTTGATGTCCACTTTTCTACTAGAGCTTTAAACAAATTTTTCCCCATGCTCACTTTGACAGACATAACTCACGCTTAAACTCAGTTTTATTTGTTTAAATAATAACAATAACTAGAAAAGGCACTCGAACCTGCGCCCCTTTAAGTCGTTGGTAAACAGTTGTTCCAACCGTTGCATTTCCGAATTCTCCCGAGTGGTGCCGGACTTTACATGAGTAAATAA